CGGAGATTCTACCTGAGCATACAAATTAAAGATAAAATGTATAAATGAGAACACTGAGTCTGTGTACTACTCAAATCTACTTCTTCTAAACACAGAAACATGTGGCCAGGAGTGAAGCAGGAATAGCCTTGAAGTCTAGGATAGCTCCAGCTGCAGGTTATCTGCTGGGCAGGCATTTTAATCAGCTTCTCCATCAAGGGGCCAAACTGAGCCTTGCAAAAAAGCTCAAGGTGATGGCCGGCAGCAAAGAAGAAATGTTGCTTTGCAGACGTCCTCTGATAATGCCTCCCTTGTTGGAAACAGCTTCTATTCTGTGAACTAACATGTCCACAGTTTCCTTCAAGGCAAAGACCTGCAAAACCCCTGAAACCTTTCACGTCTCTTCGGCTATTTCTCAACACATACCTGTTTATACTATTCGGAGTCATTTCTTTATGGATCCATTCCTGAAGGAAAAAAGTCTGCGATCCTAGGCAAAAACTGTTACACATTGCTCAACTGGGCCGCCTTCTAGTGACAGCAGCAAGGCCATCTGTTTCCCCTGTAGTTTTCTTTTCTTTTCTTTGTTTTCTTACCTCTAAACATTATGCTGTAAGAATGGAGTTATTTTTAAATAACCTCTTGCTTTTTGGTTTAAAGCATGCGGTAGTATGTCAAAGGTAGTTTAGCATTTCTTTAATTGCTATCAAAAGCCTCGTCTGTTTACCAATCTGCAACTCTTCTTACTCTTTTTTTTTTTTTTTTTTTTTTTTTTGAGACAGAGTCTCACTTTCTTGCCTAGGCTAGAGTGAGTGCTGTGGCATCAGCCTAGCTCACAGCAACCTCAAACTCTGGGCTCAAGTGATCCTCCTGCCTCAGCCTCCCGAGTAGCTGGGACTACAGGCACAAGCACCCATGCCCGGCTGATTTTTATATATATATATATTAGTTGGCCAATTAATTTCTTTCTATTTTTATGGTAGAGACGGGGTCTCGCTCAGGCTGGTTTTGAACTCCTGACCTTGAGCAATCCACCCGCTCCAGGCTGGTTTTGAACTCCTGACCTTGAGCAATCCGCCCGCCTCGGCCTCCCAGAGTGCTAGGATTACAGGCGTGAGCCACAGCGCCCGGCCTGTTGTTGTTGTTTTGAGACAGCATCTTACTCTGTTGCCCATGCTAGAGTCCAGTGGTGCCAGCCTAGCGCATCGCAGCCTTGAATTGCTGGGCCCAAGCGATCCTCCTGTCTCAGCCTCCTGAGTAGCTGGGACTACAGGCATACGCCACCATGCCCAGCTAATTTTTGTATTTCCCGTAGAGACGGGGTCTCGCTCCTGCTCAGGCTGGTCTCAACTCCTGAGCTCGAGCTGAGGCCCACTTTGGCCTCCCAAGTAGCTGGGACTACAGGCACATGCTACCATGCTGGGCCAGGAAGTTAAGATTTTTAATGAATCTGTCTTCTTAAAAGGCATGAGGTAAGTGATTATATTGAATAATATTTATGATTTCTAAGATTACCTACTTATTTAGATGGATAAAAAGAAAACTCCTGCATTTGTGACATTTCGGAGCCGGACCCTCGGGCGGCGTATCTGAACACCTCTCTTGCTTTGGAGCCGGCATGCTGGGTGCTCGCCCTTGTTTCCACGGGTGTCCGGGTCTGAGCCATGCTTCTGAGAATCTGGGCTCCTCCTCATTTGGTGGCCTAGGCCGCTGGTTTAGATTGTGGCCACTCTCTCCTGGCTTCATAACACAAACGGACTTCCAGAGTCTGCACTTCCCCACACCCGCCTTGCCCAAAGAAGCAAAGCTACATCATCCACTGGCAGCTGCTCTTGAGGGTTTTGCCTCTGTACCTAAATCTTTTAAGGTACAGAGATGCAATGCTGCTCCTCTGATTATTTATAACTACCCTTCGCCCAACTAAAAATGGCTCCCTCTGACTCTCTGGGGCCAAGAGAAGGTCTTTTGAGTTTAACATGCTGTTTTTCTTTTTCTTCTCTTTTTAAAACAGCTTTATTGAGACATAATTCACAAGTCATATAATTCGCCCATTGTGAAGTGTACAATTCGATGGTTTATAGCGTGTTCACAGAGCTGGGCGACCACCAGCACAACCAGTTTTAGAGCATTTTCATCCCTGAAGAAAGAAACTCCATCGCAGCCATTCCCCATCTTTCTCCCAGCCCGCCCCTCTTGGCAGCATGCTGTCTCGCTATATTGCCCAGGTTGGTCTTGAACTCCTGGGCTCAAGCTATCCTTCTGCCTCAGCCTCCCAAGTAGCTAGAACTGCAGGTATGAGCCACCATGCCTGCCTTAATTCTTTAAAAACAATTTTTTGGGGGGATGGGGTCTCTCTCTGTTGCCCAGGCTGGGACATGGTGTTTTTCTTCACTTTTCTGCCTTTGCATGGGCTTCCTACCCAAGACCACTGCCCTCGGCGAGCTCAGGGCACCTGTGTGAGCTGGTGGAGAGGTGCCAGGTATGTACCTTGCAGAGGAGCTCCTCCAGGCTGCTGGCCATCACCCCTCGCCGGCTGCTCCTGTCATGGTTGGAGACTCGGAAGGGGCGGGCTGGATGCATGAGAGGGGTGAGCAGGACTCGCTTGGTCTGTGATCCCATAAATGTCAGGGGCCTGAAAATGGGGGCAAAAAGTTAAAAAAAAAAAAAAGAATCTTTAGGGAGAGGTTTGAAGTACACAAAATAATGAAATTTTTATATTTGGATCTAAAAGAAAGAAACTCGGTGGTTGGAGGGTTACTAAAAATTATATATACACACATGTACACATACCATGTTTCCCCCAAAATAAGACCTACCCATAAAATAAGCCCTAGCATGATTTCTAAGCATTTGTGCAATATAAGCCCTACCCCAAAAATAAGCCCTAGTGACGGGCGTGGCTACGCAGCGCATCTGCACAACCCATGCATTTCGTCGCGGAGCAGTAAAGAAGAGAAGCAGCCCTTCTCATCTGCCCCATGAAAGCTCTATTGCTCAACATGAGAGATTGGGGCACATGGTTCTAAAGGAAATAGAGTTGCAAGAAATTCAGGATGGAATTCGGGGTTTGGAGAGTTATGATGATGTTCTAGAAGAAGACGACTTAACTACATTTGAATAAATGTAGATTGTTGTACCGTACTTAAAAAAAAAATAACACATCCCCTGAAAATAAGCCCTAGGGTATCTTCTTAAGGAAAAATAAATATAAGACTCTGTTTTATTTTTGGGGAAACATGGTATTTCTAAGAAACAAACAAGTACTATGTCAAATTAAAAACATAACCATCTTTTTTTAAAATTTTTTTTATTTTAGTGTATTATGGGGGTACAAGTGTTAAGGTTACATATATTGCCCATGCCCCCCTCCCCCCTCAAGTAAGAGCTTCAGGGTGTCCATCCCCCAAACGTTGCACATCTTACTCGTTGTGGATGTATATACCCCTCCCCTCCACCCCCTCCTACCCTCCCGATACCCGATAAATGTTATTCCTATATGTCCACTTAGGTGTTGATCCGTTAATACCAGTTTGCTGGTGAGTACATGTGGTGCTGGTTTTTCCATTCTTGAGATACTTCACTTAGTAGAAATGGTTTCCAAGCTGTATTCAGGAATATATACAAGAGGTGCATATCACCATTGTTTCTTAAAGCTGAGTAGTACTCCATGGTATACATATACCACATTTTATTAATCCACTCATGAATTGATGGGCACTTAGGTTGTTTCTACTGCTTTGCAATTGTGAATTGTGCTGCTATAAACATTTGAGTGCAGGTGTCTTTTTCATAAAGTGACTTGTGATCTTTTGGGTAGATGCCCAGTAGTGGAACTGCTGGATCAAATGGTAGATCTACTTGTATCTCTTTGAGGTATCTCCATATTGCTTTCCACAGAGGTTGAACTAGTTTGCAGTCCCACCAGCAGTGTAGGAGTGTTCCTCTCTCTCCATATCCACACCAGCATTTGTTGTTTGGGGACTTTTTGATAAAGGCCATTCTCACTGGAGTTAAGTGATATCTCATTGCAGTTTTGATTTGCATTTCCCTGATGATTAGAGATGTTGAACATTTTTTCATATGTTTATTGGCCATTATTCTGTCTTGTTTTTAGAAGTTTCTGTTCATGTCCTTTGCCCATTTTTTGATAGGGCTCTTTGGTTTTTTCTTGCTGATTTTCCAGAGTTCTAAATAGATTCTAGTTATCAGCCCTTTATCAGATGTGTAGCTTGTAAAAATTTTCTCCCATTCTGTGGGTTGTCTGTTTGCTCTCTTGACAGTTTCTTTGGCTGTGCGGAAGCTTTTTAATTTCATCAGGTCCATTTGTATATTTTTTGTTGCTGTGTGATTGCCTTTGGGTCTTCTTCATAAATTCTTTGCCTAGGCCAATGTCTAGAAGAGTATTTCCAACGTTTTCCTTAGCATTCTAATAGTTCACAACTAAGGTTCAAGCCTGTACCCAGCGTGATTGGATTTTTGTGAGAGGTGAACGGTGTGGGTCTTGTTTCAGTCTTCTACATGTGGCTATCCAGTTTTCCCAGCACCATTTATTAAATAAGGATTCTTTTCCTCAGTGTATGTTTTTTTCTGCTTTCTCGAAGATTAGTTGGCTATATGAGGATGGTTTTATATGTGGTTAAAGATATAAACCTGGTAAAGATATAAAACAGTCTGTTCTGTTCCACTGGTCAATGTCCCTGTTCTTATACCAATAAAAAGCTGTTTTAGGCCGGCGCGTGGCTCACGCCTGTAATCTAGCACTCTGGGAGCCGAGGCGGGCGGATTGCTCAAGGTCAGGAGTTCAAAACCAGCCTGAGCGAGACCCCGTCTCTACCATAAAATAGAAAGAAATAATTGGCCAACTAATATATAATATAAAAATTAGCCGGGCATGGTGGCTTGTGCCTGAGTCCCAGCTACTCGGGAGGCTGAGGCAGGAGGATCGCTTGAGCCCAGGAGTTTGAGGTTGCTGTGAGCTAGGCTGACACCACGGCACTCACTCTAGCCTAGGCAAGAAAGTGAGACTCTGTCTCAAAAAAAAAAAAAAAAAAAAAAAAGCTGTTTAATGACTATAGCCTTGTATATAGTTTGAAATTTGTAAATTATACTCCTATTTGTTTTTATGCCTAGGATTGATTTTCCTATATGGGGTCTTCTCTGGTTCCATACAAAGCATATTTTTTCTATATCTGTAAAAATGATGATGGTTTTGATAGGATTGTGTTGAGTCTGTAGGTCACTTTGGGCAGTATAGACATTTAACAATGTAAAACATAACCATCTTTATTCCTATTTACCAGAAGATTCATAGTCCTTACAAACCTGTTTAAATAGGAAAGTAAGGCATCAACACAAAAAAAAAGTGGAATTATATTCTGCAAATATAGATAGTTTTAGAGATAAAAATAACAAATTATATTCTGCAATATAGATAGGTTCTAGAGATAAAAAAATCACAAAGAATGATTTCTAATGGCCATGAAATAGTTAAGCGGGTCAGAGAATTAGGCACCAATATGTGTGCACATGCACACAGTTCCGTATTTCTGTCGTACAGTAAGACCAAGCCAGGTATTAACTTAAAAGTCAGATATTGACTTTAAGCAGCCAAGTTTTTGAAATCAACTAAGGTAAACCAAGATCAACAGAATCACTATAACTGTGGTTGGAAAACAAGGAGGAAAAGAACTTTAGGGCCAATGTCACGTGACACTTTGGAGCAAGTTCCACATTTACCAAAGAATTAATTCAAACATTCATTATAAAAAAGCACTAACATGAAAAAGAAAACAAGTGTAGCAAACCAAATCAAGAAATTATTTGAGAAAAAAAGTCTCTAGCCCTTGATAATTTTAGTTTTCTAGCAACTAAAAGGGTAATAAAATGGGGATAAATGAGAAACAGCTGATAAGTTAGGGTTGTTTAAAGAACACACATATTGGTTTATAAATATTAACTCACTTATTTCTCAGGAACCTGTGATATAGTTGTAGTTTTCTCAATTCACAGATGAGGGAAGTCAGGCCAGAGAGAGCTAGGGTTCCCAGGCTGTTCTCTGCCTCAGGAAGGCACTAAGTGACAAAAAGTAAGAAGAGTTGGCCGGCGCGTGGCTCACGCCTGTAATCCTAGCACTCTGGGGAGGCGAGGCGGTGATTGCTCAAGGTCAGGAGTTCAAAACCAGCCTGAGCGAGACCCCGTCTCTACCATAAAAATAGAAGAAATTAATTGGCCAACTAATATATATATATAAAAATCAGCCGGGCATGGTGGCTGTGCCTGTATCCAGCTACTCGGAGGCTGAGGCAGGAGGATCACTTGAGCCCAGGAGTTTGAGGTTGCTGTGAGCTAGGCTGATGCCACAGCACTCACTCTAGCCTAGGCAAGAAAGTGAGACTCTGTCTCAAAAAAAAAAAAAAAAAAAAGAGTAAGAAGAGTTGCAGATTGGTAAACAGACGAGGCTTTTGATAGCAATTAAAGAAATGCTAAACTACCTTTGACATACTACCGCATGCTTTTAAACCAAAAAGCAAGAGGTTATTTAAAAATAACTCCATTCTTACAGCATAATGTTTAGAGGTAAGAAAACAAAGAAAAGAAAAGAAAAACTACAGGGGAAACAGATGGCCTTGCTGCTGTCACTAGAAGGCGGCCCAGTTGAGCAATGTGTAACAGTTTTTGCCTAGGATCGCAGACTTTTTTCCTTCAGGAATGGATCCATAAAGAAATGACTCCGAATAGTATAAACAGGTATGTGTTGAGAAATAGCCGAAGAGACGTGAAAGGTTTCAGGGGTTTTGCAGGTCTTTGCCTTGAAGGAAACTGTGGACATGTTAGTTCACAGAATAGAAGCTGTTTCCAACAAGGGAGGCATTATCAGAGGACGTCTGCAAAGCAACATTTCTTCTTTGCTGCCGGCCATCACCTTGAGCTTTTTTGCAAGGCTCAGTTTGGCCCCTTGATGGAGAAGCTGATTAAAATGCCTGCCCAGCAGATAACCTGCAGCTGGAGCTATCCTAGACTTCAAGGCTATTCCTGCTTCACTCCTGGCCACATGTTTCTGTGTTTAGAAGAAGTAGATTTGAGTAGTACACAGACTCAGTGTTCTCATTTTATACATTTTATCTTTAATTTGTATGCTCAGGTAGATCTGATTCTCAGCGCTTAACATGCTTATCTTAGAAAAATTTTGTAACTGTCTATTCTTGTACACAGAATTAGGTAAGGTTCCCTGGAAACCTCAAAAAATTGAGCTGTACACATAATTCTCTAACAAAAGACAACTATTTGCTGTAACAATAAATACTGGTGTGGGATTTCAGTTGGGGCCTCACAGCTCATAGGAATGCTGGAGACCCCTTAACTCCCCCATCATTTAAACTACACTTTGTCTCTATCTCAATCATTTCTCCATCTATATTATTTATTTATTTCCTATTATTTCCAAATCCCTTGTGACAATCCTGCCTTGGGGCCTGTTTTTCTGGGAGAGTAGCTAACTCTGACAGGTATGAGTGAGGCAGCAGGACTCGCTTAGCACTGGGCACTGTGATGACACTTTCCAGGTGCCCTCATGTAACCCCCATGCCCAGGACAGCACCCACCTACTGCAGGTGCTCAAAGAGGGGTTGGCTC